TTTAATTGGGTAAATTTGTTTTTTTTATTTGGCCGAATCCAAAAATTTGGGAGGGGTTGGGGTTGGTTTTGGGGGATAATTTTTGGGGGTAGGGTTTTGTTTATGAATTAATTTTTCAAAAATTTTTGAGAGAGGGTTTTTTAAATTGGATATTGGGGCCCATTTGTTTTCAATCTGTTTTTTGGGCTCCTCCCTTTTTGGGGTCGGGGGGACCCTTGCCCATTTTGATTCTGTTGGGGAAAGGGGGAAAGGTTTTAATGGATTTGTTAAAGGTGTTTCAAGATTTGGGGGATAGCACTTGGGACACTTTTTTGTATTTAAAAGGGTGGTTTGGGATTTAAATCCCCTGCCTTGTTTTTTTTAAAGCGTTGATAATAAGGGGGACTTCGTTTTGGGTTTGTCGGAGCTAGAACAGTGTGTTCGGGTAGTTGCCGGGTTGAGGTTTGTCATTTGGTGGGGAAACTTTAAGGGGGTTGGGATTTTTTGGAAGGTTTTTTCCTAAAAAGGGAGAAAAAACAATTTAGTCTGTTTGGGTGTTTCTGTTGGTGGGAGTTGGGGGTTCATCCCGATTTTGCTAATTTTATTTTGCTATTTTAAAGATTCTTTTTTTTCCCCGGAAATTTTTGATTTGGGTTTTCCAGGTCTTTTTTTAAAATCACCTCGTAAGTTGGGGTAATCTGTTCTCATAATCAAAATTTTTTTTCCCTTTTTTATAAAGGGGGTTAGGATTTACGAGTAACGTTTTGGTTTTGGGGGCTCTGGTTATGGACCCCTTCTGTACTGTTTTTCTTTTTGGTGTTTTTTTATTTTGGATTTTTTGAGAATTTCCCGGGGTGTTAGCCGGGGACTTTTCAGTCTTTAGCTTTATTGTTTTAGTTTTTTTAGGGCAGTGCTTGTTATAGAGGTTTTTGGGTCTTTTTTAGAAAAATTTAATACATTTTGTTTAAAATCTGGTATAAATTTCTAGCTCAGTGTGCCAAATCAATGTTTGCTACTGCTGTTGTGAAGTTATTTTAAAGGCTGCCCATTGTGAAGTCTGAAGGGGACTTTAGTAGTGTTTGGGGTAGTTTACCCAAAAGTTGTTTTTGAGGGAAAGGGGTAGTGGTTGTGGTATTATCTGTAATTTGCCTGAATTTTTTAAAGGGGGTATGGTGTTGGTCCAGATGTGGCAAGTAGGGAAAACCCAGTCTCTGTAAAAATTTTTGGTTTTTTTACTGTTGGGAAACAAAATACAGTTACTCATCGTTTTTTGTGAATTAGTAACGTGTGGGGTCCTGGTCTTTTCAGGGGGTTTTTTATTTTAAATCACCCGAGAGAAGTATATTTTTTTATATATAATATATTTTTTTTATATATATATATTTTATATAAATATATATATATATTAAAATATATATTTATATATAAATAAATATATATAAATATATATAATTTAAATATATATATATAATAAAATATAAAAATTTATTTTTTATATATATATATATATTTAAAAATTTTTAAAAATATATTTATATATATATATATATATATAATTTTTTAAATATTTTTATTAAAATATATATATATAAAAATTATATTATATATATATAATTTATATATTTTATAATATAAAATTTATTATATAATATATATATATTTAAATATATATATAATATAAAATATAAATTATTATATTTTTTAAAATATATATTATTATATTATTATATATATTATATATATATATTTTTAATATATATTATATTTATACACAAATATTTATTTTATTTTTAAAAATATATATTACAATGTATATACATGTATATAATTTAAAATTTTAATATTATATATATATATAAATATATATATAATATATTTATATTATATATTATATATATTATATTACAGTGGCCCTCGCCAACTTGGACGTAAAAACGTTAAACCCCGACTAGGATACTTTTTTAAGCAAAAATTTTGCCTTGATAGCGCAAAAAATGCCCAACGTGATTCGTTCTGATGGACGCGTCCCGTGGGGCCCTGAGCATGCCTCATTGTCCCGGGGTTTGCGTTTTTTACAAGCCACCCATTTGCGGTCGCACCCCAAACTCAATGGGAACATTTCATTTTCACAGGTTTTTAGTGTTTGGCACCTGCAAAAAAAGTCACCATGGGCCCAAAAAAGTTTCTAGTGCAACCCCTGTGAAAAAAAGGGGTGAAAATTAGAGGGAAAATTAAGAAAGATTTTTAAAGGGTTTGGGGTAACCCTGAGACCCCTATCCCAGTTGTGGAACCCCACTGTGCCTAATTCAAAGTTTAAAGGGAAACTGTGTCCCAAAGTGGGTTGAACTGAAAACCTTTATGGATGAAAATCACCCAACACGCTTGCAACCCTGCGGGTGACTATTACAATGACAAAGTTAGGCCCATTTTAGAAAAAATTTAAAAGGAAGGAGGTACAGGCTTATGGACAGATTGTTGTGCGACAGAGATCCAGTGACTGTAAAGTGGTCCAAGTGGTTTAAAAGAAGGGGGAAGAAACCCCCGGAAAAAAGGACTTGACCCCTCAATTTTTTATGGGGGGATTCCCCTTCTAAACACTAAAAAACACCCACACTCTCCCCTCTCCATCCCATCAATCATCACCGATTTCAATGCAGGTAAGGTCATGTAATTGTCATGTCTTCTTCATTTGTGGTATTAAAATTTTTATTTCATGTGGTTAAAATTTTTTTTTTTTTTAATACTTTGGGGAGTCAGAAAAAGGATTTAATTTGATTTCCATTATTTCTTATGGGGGAAAATTAAAATCGAATAACGATGAGCTTCGAACGGATTAAATTTTTGGTCGAGGGGGGGCCACTGTACCCCCCTACCCTCCAACTTACGGCCGCTTGACATACGACCCTTAACTTCGACCCTGTTTTCTTGCCAAATTTCTCGAAAATAAAAAACTGTTTGTGTTGTATACGTTGTTTTTTCCCAAACCCTTACAGTTTTAAATCAGTACTAACGCAATAAAAAGAAAGTAAAAAATGAAATACCAAAATAAAACAAAAAATAAAAATCATTACAAAATGTGATGTTGATATTCGGTGTAAGGGTTCCCCTTTCGTCCATTAGTTAGACCGGTTTGTGGAACCAAACTCGGTCGTAATTGGATGGGACCGTATATATATTATCCTGGGAAATGGAAGAGAATTCTTCCTCCATAAGCCCTGAGTCGTAGACGAGATAAAAAAAGCCGGGAGCAGGGGTAGAAACCCCTTTTTCCTGTTATATTATAAATTAAACCTTTGACTGTTTTGGTATTTATATACGTCTTTCGGCCAGTGTTTCTGACGTATATATACTCAATAATTCAGCGGTTCAAATCAAGAGGAGAAAGTTGGAAGGCCCACAGTGAGGAATGGGTCTGTGTGGTCAGTGTGCCCACAAAAAAACCTGCAGCACAAGTGCATAAAACACCAACTTTTAGGTGTATTTTGTATGTATTTATTGTTGTTTCTTGTTTTTTATTGTCTTGGTGATAAAAAGGAAAAAAACATTGCGAAATAGAGATGATTTTTGATTAGTTTCACGATGAAAATGACCTTGGGAAAATTTAGCTCAAAATTTGCGGAAAATGTTCGTTTTTACCCAATATCAAGAAGCAAAGACACCCACGTCCAAATTACACGTCAACTGGGGAGTTATATTCTTTCACGTCCCCTGGTATTTTTTATACCATTTTTACAATAATGAAGTAGTCTGCATAACAGTAAATTTTGTATTTTTTGTATGAATAAAAAATCAAAATAGAAAGCAATAGTAATATAAGAGGGGCTTAGAGACATGACTAATGAACAGAGGATATGCTATTTTAGTGCTAAAAATGTCTACATTGTTTATTCTGGACCCTATTTTGAAATTGGCATCTTTTTTAATTTGCGTGAAATTGGCCAAATTGCCAATTTGTGACCACTTTATTGGGTAATTCAAATTGGTAAATGGGCATTTTCTTGTACTCAATTGATAGAAAAAATGGAGTTCTAAAGAAACCGCTATGAGTCTGGTCAACTGGAACAATGGAATTGGCCAAAAACAGGGCTCAAAATCGGCGAAATCGCCAATGCGTATGTGTCGATGAGACCTCTAACTTTGCGGGAGTGTAATTCCCTGAGTTTTCAACCAAATATCATACTTTTTGTGTCATTACCATCAGGAAAAGATTCTCTATCATTTCATAAGGAAAAAAAAATAAATTTTCCCAAAATTTTACGACACAGAATGACAATTTCAGAAAGGGGCTTGCGACAGTCAAAGGGTTAAAAGGAAAAACTTTAATTTTTCCTTTTGAGCCATCCCACTTCAGTGGGATATGGCTGGTATGTTGAAAGAAGAATATATATATATATATATATATATATATATATATATATATATATATATATATATATATATATATATATTATATATACACACACGCTTATATATAGCAGAATGACTTGGAGAGCGTATAAATCTGTAGGGAAAGGACAGCAGGGTAGAGGTCATCCTCGGAAAGGTTGGAGGTAGGAGGGTGAAGGAGGTTTTGTGGGCGAGGGGCTTGGACTTCCAGCAAGTATGTGTGAGCATATTAGATAGGAGTGAATGGAGACGCATGGTTTTTGGGACCTGACGAACTGTTGGAGTGTGAGCAGGGTAATATTTTGTGAAGGAATTCAGGGAAAGTGATTAGCCGGACTTGAATCCTGGAAATGGGAAGTACAAGGCCTGCATGTTAAAGGAGGGGTTTGGGATATTGGCAGTTTGGAGGGACTTCTAAACCATCATATCTGAGCGCCTCTGCAAAGACAGTGATTATGTATGAGTGAGGTAAAAATGTTGAATGATGATGAAAGTATTTTCTATTTGGGGATTTTCTTTCTTTATGGGTCACCCTGCCTTGGTGGGAGACGACCGACGTGTTGAAATAAAAAAAAAAATATAGATATGAATGTAACTCCTTAAAACTCAGAAAATCATGACATTTATTTACTTACCATCAAATGAGCGATGATTTGACATAGACTGGGTACGTTCTCGCGTTACGGGATCTTCACTGATGTTATTACAAGGAGCATGCATTGCTCTGAAAAATGTACAGTATGTTACCCTAAAACATATACTTATTTTCAAGCACTAGTTTTAACCTTATGGACGTACATAAGTTTGTGAGAATGGAGAAATATCCAAAACATGAAACAATTGTAAGTAATTTATATCTTTGTAAAAAAACAGATGTAAGGAAATTTTGAGATTATTCTATTACCATATACCAAATTATCCATAAAATATCCATTAGGAGTAAATCTTATCAAAAGGACTGATGAAGCTCTGTATCAACTAAAGTAAGAGTACACTACTTCAAAAAATACTTAATTTAATATAAATGTCTTTTACTAAACATGTTGGTGAGAGCAATTTAAATATGTCCATGTGTTAGACTGTTAAAAATAATGAAGGAAAATTTCTGGGTCTCTTCCTTGACAGCAACTTGAAATTCAACACCAACATCCAACACATTACAAAAAAAAAAAAGTGTCCCCGGACAGTTGTCATCCTTTACATGGGCCATGGAAAACAATATGAAGTTCAATGAAGAAAAATTTCAAATACAGTAGGGACCCACTTATACAGCAGGTTAGGTTGCAGGCTACAGCCGGAAAGCGGCCATCGTCGGAAAGCAAAACGTCATTTTTTTTCCACTTTTAAATTATATAAATGCCAGATAACAAGTTTACACTAACATATATTAAGTTAACAATATAACTGGGCATTAAAAAGAATAAAAAGTAAAAAACACACACACACAGTACACTCATTACTTACCTTAAAATATTTGTAGTCAGGTCAGGTATGGAAGGTATGACTACCCCACCCACACATAATATACATTTAACCCTTTGAAGGTTTCGGCCGTACTAGTACAGCTTACGACCCAGGGTTTTTGACATACTAGTATGCTAAATTCTAGCGCCCTCAAATCTAGTGGGTGAAAGCTGGTAGGCCTACATATGAAAGAATGGGTCTATGTGGTCAGTGTGCACAGTATAAAAAAAATCCTGCAGCACACATTGCATAATGAGAAAAAAAAACTTTGACCGTTTTTTGGGGAATAAAACAGTGACTTTGCACTGTATTTTCGTATGGTATTTATTGTTGTATTCTAGTTTTCTTGGTCTCATTTTATAGAATGGAAGATATATTACAGATATTGAGATGATTTTGACTGGTTTTACAATGAAAAGTACCTTGAAATTGAGCTCCAAGTAGCAGAAATGTTCGATTTTTACCAAAGTTCAAAAGTAAACAAATCATACCAAGCGTCCAATACACGTCAACTGGTGAGTCTAATATTCTTTCGCAAGTGCGCCAATATTATTTATACCATTTTTTACACTAATGCAGTAGTCTACATAACAGTAAATCTTCCATTTTTTGTGAGAATAAAATTTCAAAGTGGAAAGCAAAAGAATGTAAGAGGGGCCTTGAGACGTGACTAATGAACAGAGGAAATGTCATTTTAGTGCCAGGAATGTCTTTCTTGTTTATTCTGGACCCTATTCAGAAATTGGCATCTTTTGAAATTTGTGTGAAATTGGCAAAATTGCTAAATTCTGACTACTGTACTGGATAGTTGAAATTGGTAAATGGGTGGTTTCTTGCACTCATTCGATAGAAAAAATGAAGTTCTAGCGAAATATTCATGTTTTTTGTCGACTAGTACAGGGGAATTGGCCGAAAATGGGGCTCAACGTGGGCAAAATTGCCGATGCGTAAACATTGCCGAGACCGCTAACTTCGCGAGAGCATAATTCCGTAAGTTTTCCATCAAATTTCATACTTTTGGTGTCATTATGATCGGGAAAAGATTCTCTATCTTTTCAAAAGATCTTTTTTTTTTTTTTCAAATTTGGCCGACCCTGAGAACGAGTCTCGGAGGGGGCCTGTCGACCCTCAAAGGGTTAAAGCACCTTAGAGCAATAGAATGCACATACAGTGCACACATTATTTACCTTAAAATATATGTAGTCTTAATGTAGGGTGAGACGTGAGTAGTATTTATTGTAAGAGGTCAGGTGTGGTAAGTATAGTAGGTGTGGTAGGTATGGCCACCCCACCTACACGTAATATATATAAGTGCCCTAGAGCAATAAAATGCATATAACAGGTCAGCCATCACAAATCTGGCATCATTGGGACCTGTATCGTGCTGGATTACTGAGTTTGCAGAATTACAGTGGTTAGGTTAGAATACACTTACTAAAGTTAACCAAGTTCAGTGAACATCGGTTAAAATCAAACACTTCCGCTACTTTGAGCTCAATTTCAATTCTATCAAATGAGACCAAAAAAATAATAATATAACCATAAAGACCAATGAAAATAAGTCACTCTGTCTGACTTTTTTGGGTTATCCTAGGTTCTTTATGTATGCTATGTATGATAATCTATGTAACTGTATTTTGTTAACCTGAATAAACTTACTTACGAAAATATACCGCTAAGGGTTGGCTAATAGCTGAGAAGTGAACTCCATTATTTATCCTCCAATTTTTTCATTTTTAGTGTACATTAAAAAGCATCTTTCCATCATACATTGCCAAAGTTTCAATAAGATAACTCAACAAACAATTGAGAAAAAAAAATATTTACCAAAAATCATATATGGCAAGCCCAAGCCAGGTACTGGAAATAAGTCACTTTTTCTAACTTTTTGGGTTATGCTAGGTTCTCTATACATACACTGCCATGTATGATAATCTATGTAACTGTATTTGTGTATACCTGAATAAACTTACTTCTATTCTGTTGACCGAGTACAAGAAACCACCCATTCACCTATTTCAATTAACCAATGAAGTTATCAGAAATTGGCAATTTGGCCAATTTCACACAAATTTCAACAGATGCCAATTTCAAAATAGGGTCCAGGACAAACAATTCAGACATTCCTAGCATTAAAATAGCATTTTCTCTGTTCATTAGTCACGGCTCCAGGACCCTTTTATATTACTCTTGCTTACCATTTGGAATTTTTATTCACACAAAAAATAGAATAGTCACTGTTATGCAGACTACTGCATTATTGTAATAATTGTATAAATAATGTCAATCCATTCGTGACTGCATATTGGAATTTGGACTGGCTGGCGAACACATGTATGGAAGAGGGTAAGGTACCTAGGGACTGGCAGAGAACATGCAAAGTTCCTTTGTATAAAGGCAAAGGGGATAAAAGAGAGTGTAAAAATTATAGGAAAATAAGTCTGTTGAGTATGCCTGGTAAAGTGTATGGTAGAGTTATTATTGAAAGAAAGAAGAATAAGACGGAGAGTAAGATAGCAGATGAACAAGAAGGCTTTAGGAAAGGTTGGGGGTGTGTGGACCAGGTGTTTACAGTGAAACATATAGGTGAAAGTATTAGGTAAAGGTAAAGAGATTTTTGTGGCATTTATGGCTTTGGAAAAGGCATATGACAGGGTGAATAGGGGTGCAATGTGGCAGATGTTGCAGGTGTATGGTAGAGGAGGTAGGTCAATGAAAGCAGTGAAGAGTTTTTACGAGGATAGTGAGGGTCAGGTTAGAGTATGTAGGAGAGAGATTATTTCCCAGTAAAAGTAGGCCTTAGACAAGGATGTGTGATGTCACCATGGCTGTTCAATATACAGTGGACCCTCGACCAACAATGGCATCGATTAACGATAAATCCGACTAGCGATACAGATAGCAGGAGATAGCATCTCTCAAGCGATCATATGTGAAAAGGCTAGGAAATTGCATGACGATTTAATTAAAAAAATTCCAGCAACTAGTGGTGATGTGAGTGAATTTAACGCCAGCAAAGGTTGGTTTGAGAGATTTAAAGGGAAGGGAAGTAACCCCGGAAAAGGACTTGCCACCTCAAGTCCTAATGGAAGGGGATTCCCCTTCTAAACACAAAGACCATCAACACTCTCCCCTCCTCCCATCCCATCAATCATCACCAGATCTTCAATAAAGGTAAGTGTCATGTAACTGCATGTCTTCTTCAGTTTGTGTGTATTAAAATTAATATTTCATGTGGTAAAAACAATTTTTTTTTCATACTTTGGGGTGTCCTACACGGATTAATTTGATTTCCATTATTTCTTATGGGGAAAATTAACTTGACTAACGATAATTTTGACTAACGATGAGCTCTCAGGAACGGATTAATAGCGTTAGTCGAGGTTCCACTGTATTTATAGATGGGGTTGTAAGAGAAGTGAATGCAAGGGTCTTTGCAAGAGGTGTGGAGTTAAAAGATAAAGAATCTAACACAAAGTGGGAGTTGTCACAGTTGCTCTTTGCTGATGACACTGCTTTTTGGAGATTCTGAAGAGAAATTGCAGAGGTTGGTGGATGAATTTGGTAGGGTATGTAAAAGAAGAAAATTGAAAGTGAATATAGGAAAGAGTAAGGTGATAAGGATAACAAGAAGATTAGGTGACGAAAGATTGGATATCAGATTGGAGGGAGAGAGTATGGAGGAGGTAAATGTATTCAGATATTTGGGAGTGGATGTGTCAGCAGATGGGTCTATGAAGGATGAGGTGAATCATAGAATTAATGAAGGGGAAAAGGGTGAGTGGTGCACTTAGGAGTCTGTGGAGACAAAGAACTTTGTCCATGGAAGTAAAGAGGGGAATGTATGAGAGTATAGTTGTACCAACACTCTTGTATGGGTGTGGAGCACGGGTGATGAATGTTGCAACGAGGAGGAGGCTGGAGGCAGTGAAGACGTCGTGTCTGAGGGCAATGTGTGGTGTGAATATAATGCAGAGAATTCGTAGTTTGGAAATTAGGAGGTGTGGGATTACCAAAATCATTATCCAAAGGGCTGAGGAGGGGTTGCTGAGGTGGTTCAGAAATGTAGAGAGAATGGAACTAAACAGAATGACTTCAAGAGTGCATAAATCTGTAGTAGACGAAAGGTGGGATAGGGGTTGGCCTAGGAAAGGTTGGGAGGGAGGGGGGTAAATGAGGTTTTGTGTGCGAGGGGCTTGGACTTCCAGCAAGCATGCGTGAGCATGTTTGAAAGGAGTGAATGGAGACAAATAGTTTTTA